GTCTCTCAAACCTGATAAACACCTTTAATATCAGAGTTAATAACTTGTGGGGGCTTAGGATCACAGAAAGCTTTGAGAAGGAAGAATGTTTAAGTGCCTGTGCCCAAGCTGTGCAAACACAAGCTGTGCTGGGTGAGCTGAGGGGCACAGGGGAGGGCCTGGCTGCACCCTTGGCTTCTGCCAGCATGCCAACTCTGCGGCTGTTGGCCAGCTGGGGTAGGAGATTCCAGCCCACTGGCCCCAATGACTCGTTCTCGTGGAACAAAGCCCATCTCCTCTACCACAGCTTTTTCCCAGGAACTGGCCCATATCGAATAAAATAAATAAATCACAAGTGTTTTGTGAAGGGGAAAAAAGAAAGTTCCTGCTGTACATAGCTCGGGGGAGCAGATGTTTTTCCATTAGCTCACTGTTCTGTGCTGCACTGCCTCTCTTAGCATTTCTTGTTTGTGGCATGTTCGTTATAATCTTTTTTTTCCTAGGGTAAACTTTAGCACGTTACTGAGACAGCAGGTAGCCCACTCCAGGCCCCCATTATTTTTCTCTAAATGCTCCTTTAAATTAGCCTTAGGGTCTACCTGGTGAGGTTTGCAGGCTGAGCTTAGCAGGCATTTAGCCAAACTTATATCAAATTACCAGACCTACTTTGCTGTGAGTGGCCATATTTGGTAAAGTATTGGGTTAGTCAAGAAGCTAAATTGTCAGATATAAAGTACTAGTAAAGACAAACAAAGTGGACATCGTAGTTAAAAGTAAAGCTCAAAATAATATAGTAACGGAAGCTGGAATATCAGAACTTTTATTAAAACTGACTTGCAGCATTCTAAAATGCTCTGTGTAAATAGAGCATATGGTTATTACTGCCTGGAAATATAACCACATATACTTCAGATAAGGAATCACTCCAGTTACCCAAAGAGCTTTGAACTATTAACACTATTTCTTTTCAATACTGACATGCTTTGCTCTCTGGGTCAAAAGTGATCTTATAAAAACGTCGAATGAAGGTAAATGTTGGTCATAAATTTGAACGATTTCAAGTATATTTTCCTTAGCCAAACAGCATGACTCTATTTTCTAAACAAAAAGGAGGAGTACTGGCAGGATTAAAAAAAGTATTAGCACCAGTAATCTCTAGGATTCCCCTTGCAGCTCTTCCTGCAGCAAGAGGGCGGAGTTAACAAGCTTTACCAATGCCACAGAAGTTCATTCTCTCTTCTCAAAGTTGAGTTCAAGCTCTCAGTTACAAAAAGTAGAACAAAGAGGAGAAATTAGCATATTGATTACATAAAGACCACCTCTCCTGGAGCTGCGCCACTGCAGCATGTGCACTGTAGCACCGTTCCTAAGTACTCCCTGAAATGAGCTGTTTCTCAGACTTGGGGCCAAGAATAATGTTTAGGCTTATAAATGTTAAAGTGTTCCAAGATGACTCTTTTTAAGAAGCCATTACATTACATTTCAGGAGAACTAGGGGGGGTTATTGTTAAAAAGGACCAGACAAGCTGTGTTAACAACCTTTGCTGCAGAACACTTGAAAACCGAGTATGCCTATTAATATGCCTGCTGCAGGGATAGACAACCTCTCTAGTCCCTGGGGACAGCACACCTCATACTCTTCCAAAGCTAACTGTGACTGCCTGCAGGAAAAACAGGAAGATATGGAAGGCCACAAAAGTAATGTTTTAAGTTCCCTGCTGCACATGACTGCACTCCCAGGTGGTCCTATAAGAGATGGCTGGACACAAGATTAACAGTGAGAATTCACTGTTATTTTGATGCATGGAAGAGAAAATGACTTTCTAGAGATCACAGATCCATCAAGCAGCTCTTTGGTGTTTACAGGAAGCTACAAAAAACTATCTTGCCAAAGATCACTAGGCATTGCTACAGGGAAAGACAAGGTATAGCATCTGTTACAGTGCAGCACATTTGGACTTAGCAGCTGCATATCCAAAGCTGCTGCTTTATTACCTTTCCTACATAACTGTGCTGGTCATAAACCCAGAAAAGTTATAGATAAAACCACTAAGTCTCTGTCCTCTTATGTGCAGTGTAAGTATCTTTATCACAGCACAGAAGAGATTATTTGCATAGGGTTCACAGCCTTGCCTTCAGCCACTGTTAAAGGAGCGCACATGTTCTCATGAGCTAATTGTGAAACTCATTAGGGAACAAGGGCTCTCCAGCTTGGAGGGACTGAGGATGCTTCTGTACAAGGCAGGAACTTGTATTGCAGCTGCAGGTGGAGGATGATCCAGTAAGGATTCCCCTGTATAACCACCATCAACACTCCCTTTCGCAAGTGTATGTGCTGGTTTTGTGGCCTGTGCTGGTTTTGTGGCCTGTCCTGGCTGCTGGAAGGCTGTAAGAACAACCTCCCACAGCTGTGGGATAGCTGGTTCTGTGTGCCTCTTTCCTCTATCAGTGCAGAAAGCTCTACTGGATCAGTTGGTTGCCACCATTAGTTTTCATGTCCTGGGATACGAAGGGGCATGGGAACTGCAATGGCTCTAACGGAACCCAGACAAGATTGCAACCTGGCACTCTAAATCCATATCCTCATACAGAGACACAGCCAGCTGCGTGCTGTTAGTGTCTGAAAAGGATGGATGCTTTGTTATAAATTTACTGTAGTATGAGGCTAGGAAATTGTAATAATTTTATCTAAAGATTTGTGAGTCATGCTAAAAAGGTCAAAGTGTTAATGACAACAAAAACAACAACACTAAAGTCATTTCCCAAAGGCAGACTAACATTTTTTCCCTTTAGAGATAGGACACTGAGGTATGAAAAAGTTAGGCAACTTGCCTGGAGTCACAAGATGAGTCATGGATTGAAAAAGGACAAGTGCAAGCTAAACCTGATAAAAATCTACAGCATACTGCTGCAGCTCTTCCATGAATATGAAGAGACTCTGTATGCAGCCATCAGAATATTACACTAATAGCCTGTTGCTTTCCACAGCTGTTAATTTTGGGGTAACCTGTAATGCAAAAGCATGTGACTACCTCAACTGCCACACATTTCTGTTTAATTTGTTGTTTATGAAATATCTCTATTCTGGAAGTTATTACCTTTTTACAAGTATACTTAATTCTCCTTTCCCCTCCTTCCAGATGGAAAAGATTCTAGTACTGAGGGTCAGTGATACCCTCCTGGACTATTACACTCACTAAGCCCAGTGTAAGATCAAGCCACTTCCAAGAAGTTCTCTAATTATTCAGGCACGATGCCCTTCTCCATAGAGAATGAAGACTAGCCCAAAATACCTACATCTCTCTTTGTCCCTCAGGATACCAGAATGCAGCAACTTCCACACTGCTGTGCAAAGAGAATGGCCAGTACCTCACCAAGAGCTCATTAAGCTGCATCCATAACAATAACTGACTTCAGTAATGAAATTACAAAGCAGTCACAGTGTGTGTTGTGAAAATATCAATCCTGATTCAAGTCCAGCTAAAAATAAGCATGAAGCAAAATAAAGATTTAAAAAATGATAGGACAGAAAAGTTACAGCCTATAAAAATAAATTCTATCTAAATGAATTAATTAACACCTTTGAGAATGGCACTCGATTCACACAGAAAAGCAATCACGGCAATTCACAGCTAGGTCACAGCAAGCACTAGGTCTTTATTGCTTTTTGTCTTTTTAGACAGCGGGGAAAAAAAAAATGTAAACTGCCTAGAGCTATCTGCAGGGTGATGGACAACGGACATCTGACTTCTCATCACAATAACCTCCATTTATTTTGCTCCCCACCAGCCTTCTCTGCAGCCTTAAATCAGGAGTATAAACTGACTAAAGCAAAAGCTTGCTGGTGATTTTGAAGCCCACAGTACATGACTGAAATTTACATGCACACAAGTCACAAAAATGACCATATGTGATTAACTTAAAGTATGATGCATTCCATAAGGTGACTTTTGTTCTTCAACATTAGTCAAATTGTAATAAAAACAATGGCACATATTTTGTTCTAGAACTAAAGTTCAGTTGGTAGGAAACAGCCCATAAAAACAGCTACAAAAAATCTTTGCTGAGAAGTACGGTGAGACTGCCAGGTTTTGTTTGAGAACTGTCAATTGCATAAGTTAGCAAAAGGAGAATTTGAAAGGTTCTCCTGCATAAAGAATAAGAAATTATCAGCAAGGTTCCAGGAGGCCCTACTTTTCTTTCTTCATTGCAAATGGTGAGACATCTAATAAGCAACCACAGCACTCAAAGGTAACTTCAGACTCACAACTGCGGGCTCAGTTATGGAAGAAAAACCGCGTCTCATAAGAACAAAACTGCAGGGTCAGAACTTCTTCTATCAGTTCCAAAACCCCGGAATGCAAACGGCAGAATGTGCTGGGCAGCTCTGTTCCTCATCAAATGTCCTACATGAAACCCTTCTATGAGTTTGGAGATCGCCTCTGGGCAGAGTCTCTTCTCACTGTTCTCTTTTCCCTTTATGTGCTCTACTGTAGCATCTCTGCACTAGTGTCTCAAACTGATAAGCAACCTACAAGCCCTTGGGAGATTCAAAGAGTCGAGGAGTGAGTGAAGCGAAGGACTTACTCTTTTTAAAAGTTTTCACTTAAGCCACAGCAAAGAGTGGAAAGTTCCCAGCCTAAATCACATTTAATACATGGTTTACCCAGTCTTATTACAGGGAAGCATGTAGGAAAAAACAAACGAAAATAATTGTGCCTATCAACTACCATTTGTTAATGAACCATCTAACCTCTTTTTTTAAAAAGCATATTGTAGTGATGACTGAAGTTTTCTGTGTGTTTTGGAAAAACAGAGGTGAGCTGAAAAATCATACTACTATAGTATTTTTTTGTCAAAATCAAATAAGTGGTATTTCAAAAACCATCTGGGATAGACAGGCAGATTTTCTGCTGGAATAAAGTGATTTTCAACTTATGATTTCAACTACTTGGTTAATACTTATGTCATTTTATTCACCACTGGAGGGAAAAAGGAACCCCAGGTGGTCCAGGACTTACCAGCTTGTAGCCAAATTTGTTCAAGAGTTGTCCACAGTTGCATAGGTCCCTGCTTCATTGTGCTGCTCTGCATAGTTATTTCAGACATGGCCTGTTCCAGTCTCGATGCAGCAAGTGAAGAGGCTCGTTGTGACCCTACGGACCAACAAACAAGAACAAAAAGGATATTTCTTTGACTCAATAAGGCAGCAGGTCCGATCCTTCACACAATATAATAAGAGCTCTACTGAATTCTAGCATGACCAACTGGAGAACTATGTTTTATAAAAGGTTAATTTACTGAAAAAACCCTACTAAATTACCCAAGGGCTGCAGCTCAAATAAGCAAATTAAGAGACAGACAGTAATTTTATGAAGGTCTGCTTAGCATTCATTAAGGAAGCAAGCATATTTTGCTCATTTGGGAAGCAGAAGTCTACCATCAAATATTTCCCACAAATACTTTTTAATAATCCATTTTATAAGCACAGTCACCATACAATTCCAAAATGTGCCCCACTAACGTAAAAACTTAGTACAGCATTACAAAGTAGTTTAGCCCCATTCACACAGCACACACACTTCAAGTGACATCAATATTGTTCTACTGATTTAGAGGCAATGTGGTTTTTCATTTAACCTTAGGGAGCAGAGAGTTCAGAGCTTTGACTACATTAACCTTTAGTATGCACTGTAACATTTACGCAAGAATAAAGTATTTGGCACCCACATCTCTGGGACAAAACATCACATCAAAAGCTACTCCCAGAAGGAGTGCATGGGCGGAGACCATGTTCTCCAGTACAGGGATTATACTGGTGAACTGCTCTCTTACAGGGGTACCAAGAGCATGATAGCAAAATAAGAAGTTACAAAATGAGATTTCAGAGTTGACTTTGTAAAGCTTTGAGAAATAAATATTTTAATATACATAGATTTAATGTGACTTAAGGTTGATAAGCTCTTCTCTGGAGAGCTACTGTGACTGAAACACTTGTGCTGATTAGCATTACTCTTGAATCAATCCTTACACATTGACCTCACAGACCACAAGATCACAGAGTTCAAATCCTGTTTTCACTCACCGCAGCCACCCTGAGGGAGCAGCAAAGCCTAGAAACAGGTACTCGGGGAAGCTGAGATGGCTCTGGGCAGGGAAAGGGACAGAAGAGCAAAAAACCTGTCACAGGGTTATGCATTAAATGCTCTCTCTGAGAGAGACAGCAGCTTTTCCCGCTGAAGTGTGCTGAAGAGGGGGTTGCCAAACCACACCTCCTGACCAGCAGTCTGACACGTCACCCCCGGCCAGGGTGCTGGCAGGCACAGCAGTGTGGTCCCCCAGCCATGGTCTCCTGGCCATCGCCACTCTGGATGCTGAGCAGGGACCCAGCCTCCTGCCAGGCATGAGAGGAGGCACTTTTTCGCCCCATGCTCCTGTGCCGAGACACCTTTGCATTGCGAGGCAGGACATGGCTGCAGCTTCTATCAAACCCGCGGCAAGAGTGTCATGGCTTGGGAGAGACCACAAGTGCAATCCCAAGCCCAAAATCGCTCCGGGAAATACTTGTCCCATTATCTCACTGCTAACTAATGTAATTCATTTTAAACAGGAGAACTTCAAAAGAGCCCCACAAGCGCAGGACTCTCCCACAGCTCCCTTGGAAAATGCAAATGTGCTCTTCCTAGCTGCGTTTCTAAAATTCCTACATATTTTCAAAGACATTCCTTTACTAATGTTCCTCCTGATCTAATGTTCCGAGAGATGACAGTGCAGTAATGTAGCAATTACGACTTCAGCAGTAGGGTAAAAGCCACTCAGCTTTGCAGGGAGAATTCATTATATTTAACAGTTTATTTAACAGATCCATCTTCAGCCTGTTCCACTGCACGAGATTCCTCCCCCTGCCCTGCCCGCTTAGTCTTCTCCCTCATCCCTATCCCCACCTGGGAGAAATTCCACCGAAACTCCCAAAAATTCAAGTCAGACTACAGCTGTTTGACACAGGGGAAACTACCATTTACTCCCAGCCATTCAAAAACACAGACAGCTTCTCTGAAGTGCAGAGACAAGAAAACGGACACATGAACAAGCTAGTGATGTTATTAGGAGCACTTTGAAATTAGGGCAGACTTCTTGCCTTCTAGATTGGCAAACATGGAAAAAATTATATGTGCTTTGGGGATTGTGCTGTCGGCCTAACCAGATTCTTATATTAGCACTCCTGATAATGTTAGCATGCTTTGAAAGCAACTTTCAGAATCATATTTTTCTGCCAAGACTGCCTTCTTCCAGAGAGGCTTTCTGGAGCTGTGTTTCTTGCAAGCACCCATATATGACGCTGAGCTCTTTGCATGGGGTGTGCATATGGGCTGGTGTTTTATTCACATCCTCCCGGAGCTCAGGGAAATCCTCTTTTCCTTGCAAGTCAATCCAAGAAAACTATGTCACTGTAAGGCACCTTTATGCATTTTGAAGAGGTTCACACACTGCCTAAGCAGATCCACTTAGGATTGACTAAAGCATCCTTCCCTCACAAAGCAGGCTTTACAGGAATATCACAGTGAGTTAATTGCACACAAAGGAACACAAGTTAGCTGCTCCTTTTCTCCTTTTCATTAGCCCAGTAGTTGCTAAGAGGGAAATTTGACACTGAGACTGATCTTGCCCTGTGCAGTGGGCATCTGCACAACCATAAAAATAATAACACAAGTTACTCAGAGATTTACAGCAGAGGCTCTTTGTATTTAACAGCCTTTGGCATTCCAGTCCTTTAATCTTTACTTTCTTTTCCTTCTTTTCCAGCCTACATGAGAAAGCAAACCACACTAGGCAGAGACCATCCCATCTCTTCCCATCCCTGCCGGGCCTCAGACACAGATATGCTCTGATATGCCTTTTCCAGACGAAAAGGCTCTGTCCATCATGGTCCATACGTCCACTTTTGCCACTGCTGTTCTTGCCCATCTCTACTGGGCTGGTTATAATTTGGTCCTCTGTCTGACCAAATAAACTCTTTAAGAGAAGGTTTTAGCCAGCCTGGCCCTTCTGGACTGAAAGGGGCTCAGTCACAGCTCTGAATCTCAGGCAAGCAATATGGTGACCCTGAAGGTGGGCTGATGGCTACTGGACCCACAAAAGAATATCCCCCTAACACACACCTTCTTCTGAGAGAGGAGGTCAGCATGTATTGCACTGACATGACTCTGACCTCAGGGTAGCTGGGGGAGATGGAAAAACTTCAAGCAACATTAAAAAAAAAGCAGCATCTGAATGTCTCATTCTTCCTAAAGAAATGTAGATCTTTATAGGCTAAAAAAACCTCCCCACAGAACCTGTCTCACAGAATTGTAATGTCATGCCTCAAAATACATGCAAATGTTGGCATAAGAAGACATCACATCAATTTGTTATTTTAGTGCAGTCTCTTTCTCTATTTAACAGCTCCACTAGACAGAATATAAACTTCACATTTTACAATAAAGCCCTTCACACATTTTGGAAATAACTCATAAAAATAACAAAACTGATTTTGTCGTGATGAGCTCTGCATATAAGCCATACAAAATCTATCCAAATAATTTAAAAGCACTGTTCCAGTGTTATAAGACCGAAAAGACCAAGTTTAATATTTTGCATCTATGAAAAAACTGCTAGCAAAATAGAAATGTACCTCAGTAGATTTACTAGGCTTATAAGAAACACAGAATTCCCTAGCCTAAATCACTTCAGGCAAGAGCATTATAAGATAAGACTAAATCAGAAAAAGAATGAAACGGCAAGGCAGCTGACTGATATCAGTGAATTTAGCTAGAAACATTGCTTCAGTTAAGAGAAGATGAAGAAAATAAAGTGGAATTAATCTTTCTAGCAGCAAACCTAAAGTTCTGGCACAGGAAATAATCTCATTGTGGTCTAATTGAGGGAGAGGCCAATGTCAAACCCGGCCACAGTAACCCCCTGCCCCCTTCAGTGATGAGTTCAGAGATCAAAGAGTGCCTGTGCAGTACAGCAATACTGCTGCATGCTCCCAGGGGATTTCACGATGGAGATCAGTGTCTGTTCCAGAATGACGCAAAAATATCAGACCTCCTCCCTCTTTCAAAGCAGCCAGACACAGCCACAGCTCTGGAGAAGCACAAGGGTGAGAGGGCTCGAGCTGTACTCTCCAATCTCACCCCCTAGTGTCTTCAAAGAGGCTTCCACCCAGGACAGCAGCCTCAGCTGCCTCTCTTCTGCAGATGGAGAACAGCAGCATCCAAAGCTTGCAGAGCAGGGAGCCACAGACCCCTTTTGAAACCGGCCAGTGCCAGCCCTGCACTAAGGTGGGTGGTGTAATTTCAGTAGGAGCTCCATCCTTATGTCCACTGGGGGGGCAACCATGTTAGCATGGAAACATGGATTTTCAAAGCAGAGGAGGAATAAATTTCTTGGCTAAAACCAAACTGCATTCAGTGCAAATCACTTCAGGTGCATGAAAAGCTGTTTTAAAGCTTGTACTGTACATTAATTTGCTCTTCCTGGCAGGCAGCACCATGGCATGCAGCATTTTCTGCTGAACTACAACTGCTCCGTTGCATGCTGGCTGCTAGAACTGGGCTAAGAGAAGGCTGGAACAGATCCCCAACCCAGGTGCTTTTTGAGGAGAGCACTATATAAGAGCCCAAACATGACTGAGCTTTGCTGTGACCCTGAAGAAGATGCTGCAGGTCTGCAGCAGAGGAGTGAGCAGGAGTCAGGTCTTTGAAGGGTGATACACCAGCACATCAAAGTATTACAGGCTCTACTGGTTATATTTTGGTCTCAAAATCTCAAACAATGCTGTAAGTGGGTGCTGCCCAAATCTGGGCACACTTTCTACAAACAATTACAAAGCAAGGCAAGGGATCTCCAAAAGCACATGGGATCCACACCCAGAACACCTTTTACACACTGTTAAGCTCCAAGCTAGAGCTGAAGACAAAGAGATAAGTCCAGGCTCAACCCCACAGTCTAGACACCACAAACCACCCAATGCTTTAGCAGCAGAGTGAGAACTGGATGAATAACAGAAGTACTGTAGCAAATATTATTTCGGGGTTTTATTACTTTCATAGTAATCCCTAGTGGCTGATGGATTCTGCAAACTACCTACAGTGTTTTTCAAACTATTTTCACATATTCACTGAAAATGAGAGTCCATTTTATCACCCAGCATCAGAGATGATACAATATATTTCACAAATCTTCAGAATTATCTTCAAGTGACAACTACCCTAAGTGGTTTTGTATTATCAGGAAGTTTTCATGATATATCCACTCTCTTTTCCTTTTTATTTTTAATATGCCAAACAGCAGACACTTATTTAGTGTATCCTCTTCATCCATCTGTGTTGAATTTGGTCTGTTCTCTTCAAGTTAGCCAAAGACTCTAGAACACTGCCATATAAACAATGAGAAAAAGGGTCTATATAAAATACAAAGAGTCATCTCAGCAAAGGGTAAGAAAAGAGAAATGGAATAAAAAAAATTACATAAATATGTGTGCATAGAATCAGTAAGATAACAATGTCATAAATATAGACCCTAAGGGTTTAACACTACAGACAAGAGAACAGACATGCTGAATAATATTTTGATGTTTGAATGCTCAAAACCTAACCTTGCAATGCTTTTTAACCATTAGTGGATGTAAATGGGAATTAAGCACACATTATTTAATAAAAGCCATGTACTTAACACATATGAACTTGTCATCCATCTCAGCCATATATGCTCAGCATGTGATTTCAGTTTTATGAATTCCAGGTGTTCATGATTTAAGACACAGACAAAGCCTAATTCCCTGGCCCCAAAGCATGTGACTTGGTTATGTGTTTTTTTTTTTAATCAAGCTTTTTTCTTTTTCAATTTCTGAGTTTGAGGTTCACTTTTTTTTTTGCAAGTGTTTCTTCTACATCCACAAGGATAGAAATTTGCTTTCCTAAAAAACCCTTCAAGTTTAAAGTCAAGTTTCTCACATAATCATCTGATTTTGAGAATCAGAGTTTCAAAGGAAGCACCAAATATCACGAGACCTATAATAAAAATCACAAGTCGGCAGCAATCTCTGAAAGCTTCCTTTCCCCTTCTGCCAAGATTAGCTTTGATGCCTCAGTTATTTCCATCTGACTGTATCTGTTACTGTGAATATGTATTTACCATATAATAAAACATAACAAGGTTTATGCAGAAATCCCAAAGCAAAGCACCATTTAATAGGAATTGACACTTTCATTCAGCTTTCCAAAACCAACAATAGCAGCTGGCTTGACCAGGACATGTAAAAAGGATTAAATGGTGGGGGGAAAGGGGGAGGAGGAAAAAAAGGACTGAATTAGACAGTTCTTATAAAAGTGTAGTGAACCCCCATCGAATATTTTTCATGCTTGACTCAGAGAGCTTTGTAATAGAAAGCTGAAACTCATCTCTGTTTTATGCATGGGGAAGCCAAGGTACAGGCAAACCACAGTGGCTTCTGCAGCAGAGCTGGCCATGGAGACAGATTTGGACCTCCTGACCACCAGTCCAACGTGAACATACGCAGCCCCGCTGCTCTTGCCAAACAAAGTAAAACATGCATCTCTCACAAATGCATTCCTCACCAGAATCGGTATCATGAGCATCTGGGAGAGTGAGATGCAGTCCGTTATGCCTTTTGATCACCGGTGTTTCGGTCACACTACTGCATTTCTCAGAGCCACTGTAAAGAAACAAAACTGTGTTACCTGGCTTTCTCTCAGTGAAGAACATCTCCTCAAAGCAGGCAATAGTCTAGCTGCCACTAGAACTGAAAAATCAAAGTTACCAGTTCCATGAAATCAGCTTCTTGAATGTATTAACATTCCCCCCCCACACACACATCTGCCAATGGACAGGAAGCTCAGAGACACAGTGACCAGCAAGGGCTCCAGGGCATGTGCTGGTATATAGTTTATTTGGCTTTGGAAGTCTTTGCAAACCACAAGGAACATGTTGGCAGGTAGAAGCCAGATCAGAGGAGGCCCACCAGGAAACCCTCTTCCAGCAAGAATCACCATCCCTTGGACTTGTCTGCAGAGTAATTTGTTCACAGGTCTCCTATGCTAATCTTTTTGAAACAGACCAATTACCAGCTTCCACCTGAGTGCTAATTTCTTCATTTTTTCATTTCAAAGGGCTTATTTTCTCCTTTTCCACCTTTGTTCTGTTCAAAAAATAGGAGGAAGATAAAAGCTACCACATAGCACTGCTTTATGAAAGGGTGAATATCTGGTCTACTCTTCTACAAGACTTCTGTCCTCATAGGAGAGGCCTTCCAAAGGGAAACTCAAAAAAAAAAACTAAAGTCATGTGACTATATAGTCTGCCATCCCCCAAGGATCAGTGGTGATGATACCTCCTCTCATCATCTATTAAGGGACAAAATATCAGGAGAAGTGACTGCCCTGGCTACTTTTTCTGGCACACTTCCAAGCCTGCAGCTCAGCCTTTGGACAATATTCCTTCCAGCAAACAAGCTGTCAGAGAGTCATGATTACTGTGGATGCCCCGCCCCCGTCTTTCAGTCTGATCAGTCCTTTGGTAGGGATTGCACAGAATTCCCTTGAATTTGCATTAATCTAGCAGAAGAACTGGGACTGCTATTTGGTGTTAAACACGATTAGTCTGTTACCACAGAAAACAATAGCAAAAGATAAACCAAATCTTGTCCTTCACAGTTAACAATCTGGGAAGCCACTGAAAGCCACTTAGTGTCATTCATCATAGCAGAAATCATATTTACAATACCTAATTAACCTTTTACTTGGGCTTTGGGATCAAACATAATGGTTCCTGTTAACGAACCCTGAATTCTTGGGATTTTGACTGCACCAAACTACGTCCGTGAATGGGCTTCCCTGTCTTCCATACTTGTTTCCACATTGACACCTCATTTGAGACTATCATGTGGTGACAGACAGAAGGAAATATTAATTAAATTAATTAAATTCTCTGTCCTGTGCCTCAGCCTTGCCTAGCCAGGATTGACCCAAGTGTAAGTGCCCTGACTGGGAGCTGCTGGAACTGTAGGGGCAACTCTGTCTTACTGGTGCATTGTGTATGCAGGAACAAGGCAGCTGCACTTCCAAATATTACTGCCATGAGGTGAGTGCTGCTTCGATGCAGCAGCCATCACCACAGGATCATCGTTTAGGCCCATGCTGAAGCACTGGCTTATACGCTGTGCTCCTACTCCGAGGACCAGTGAGGAGACTGGAAAATCCCAGGCTGAGAACCAAGTGGAATGCATTGTGCAAAACAGCCACTCCCAACAGCTTAATCTGTTATCCTGGAGAAGGGCTGAAAATTAACTACTCCTTAAAAGCTGCAGTAAAAGGCCTTCAGCCAAGAAAGGTTTCCATGCACCATGAAAGGGACAGTAGCCAGATGATTTGCCTTCTGCATACAGCACTGGAAAGGCTGACAGCAGGACATTTTGCCACTTTACTGCCCATGTTTTAGAAAGGTAGTTGAGACAGTGGACAAAATGGTGACAAAAATACTGAAGGGAACACTTGATTGTGAGAAACTGCAGAGGCACAAGTTTGTCAGAGAGAAGACAAAAGGAGACTTAAGCATGGAATACGAATAGCTGCCTAGGGGTAAAATATTGGGCCCTGAAAGACTCTTTAGTCTGTCAGTCACAGTGAGACTGCAAAGCCAGGAAGCTTAGGCCAGATAAATGCAACTAAACTTAACTGAAGTGCCATTTAGTGTGTAGGCAGTTATCTACTAATTAAACTAGTAAAGAGTACTGGGTGCAACAGCTCTCATCTTTCTGTAAATGCAAGCTTTTTTTTTTCCAAGAGGGCCTAAAGAATGTCTGAGTCCAAGTCTCACTGATAAGAATTCCCCTTAAGTTCCTTTGCAAGCCCTACCCAGAATACTTTACATATTTGTTAGCTGACAGTGCTGTAATTTGCTTAATATAAGGGCCTTCCTGTGTCACTAAATCCAGTCCAGAACCACAGGTACTAAGTTCATTCTTGTTACCTTTCAATTAGTACCTCCCAATAGAAAATACTTCATGATGTATTTTTCGAGAAATTAAAAAAAAAAAAAGCTGTGCTGGGAATAGAGGTGAAATACACACTGGGGTTCCTAAAAGCAAAACCAATTTGTTTTGTCTAGGCTTCCATGGCTAAAGCTTATTGAAAGCCCCTAAAGCTATCGCATCTTGGGTTTATAAGTATAACTGCCAAAGCACAGTCTGGGATCCAAATGCAGTCCAAATGGCTGAACTATTTATTTATCTGTTTTCCAACGTACTCTCTACAGTCCCAGGCTTGCAGCCCCCCTTTGCAAGAGTAAATCTTCCTCAGTAATAATTGTTTAGCATGGATTTGATCAGCTTCACAAGGACTACTCGTGTATAAAGATTATTCATGTGAGAGGTACATGATTGAATCCTTAGCTAAAGAGACTAAAGCCTAAGGAAATCAATGATTCCAGTCTGTAAGAGACCATTTCTCTGCTGCTATGCAAATATCTTGATTTTTGTGTTTGGTTTGCCTCTCATTAGCTAAACCAACAAGAATTACTAATAATCCCTCAAGGACAACTTGTATATAGACATACATAATTCTGTACATATATTTCTGCTGTTTATAAGGCTTATGTAAATACATACAGAGATCAGGGAACAACACAAGCTACCTCAGCCTGCTGTCATGACTGTTGCCATCAAGCACGCTGTCCTTCTCATCAAACACAACCTCTATGGACATTATTGGTGAAAGATAAGTACAGTCTTGGTGTAGCATTCCCAAGACAGTTGCAGTGATACCTTGACTAGGACAATATCCAAAGGGTGTGGGAAAGAAGAAAACCCTAGTAAGTATCTTTCACACTTTCTAAACTTTACCTTTTGGTGGGGCAGCAGATGAAAGGAAGGAAACCAACAGGGAAGGTAGCATTGTTTAAACGCAGATTTACTAAGACAAGGGAAGGGAGAAAGATGCTACATTCTCCACTTCCTTCCTTGCCCAGTTAGTACCAGGCTGTGCAACTAGCATGCGACTACAGCATATGATAGAGTTTGGCAATGTGCCTTTCCTTGGCTTACTCACTTCGGGACTGTCACCCCCACACATTCCTGGTGCCAACTACTGCAGACTGTGAACAATAGCTGATGAATGCTCAGCACTCCTGAAGAAAAAAAAAATTCTGCCCTCTATTCTGGACATCCAAATATGGATAGAGATGTTTAGACATTTGGATCAGAAACTCTTGGTTCAAACTGCTTCTTCAATATTAAAATACTGAGGTCTTGTTTTTGTTGTTTTTTCTTTTTTTTTTTTTAATAATACCTATTAAAATCTTGCCTTTCTTTTCTTTATCACAGCTAGAAATATTACTTATGTTTTAAACAGTAGTGTTTATTACTCTTTTTGCAAAATAACTTAAGTATCTAGAAAATTAAAGAAGATAACTGCATCCCCAATAACAAATCTGAACTTGCTACAGTGGAGAAAGCCTACCTGTGCTGTGAAACATTATATACCATCTGCCACATCTGCAACATACGTCTGCATGTCATCAGAGCCTCTTCAGGTCCTTTATGTATCCATTCCAGTTTTACTTTGGTGAAGAGTAAGCTGCAAGATGAAAAAGAATAACTCCTGGTTTATTGGCATCTCATAAATGTAGAGAATCAGTATCACTCTAGTGAGACCTTAGCAGGCGGCATCTTTACTTCCTTTGTATGTGCAGCAATAAAAGAAAACATCAGAGCACAAAACATTTCATTTGGCTCAACTTTAGATTTCCCACAAGGAGATGAGCGGATTAACAATATTCCTCAGCTGCAGTCAAATTTGCGTCACAAAGCCGACAGGACTGTTAAAAGTTAACAAGGTGAAACATACGCTGAATCTCACTTTATTTTAGACAGTATTGAAAACAGAACAAAAAGTAATTGCTATAATACATATGCCAGGCTGTTTCCTTAGTCTGGCATCTTCTTATAGTACTGGCTTATATAATAAATTTCAGGCAAAAAACCCAGCACACTTAATATACACAGATAATTATGTAATGCCTCACAGGAAGGAAATGCTTTTTCTTAACCCCAGCTGGCAATCATTTCATGCCCCTAGGCAAGACAGCTGATAGCCTTGTACATTCTTGTTCTAGGTAGTGTAACTGCTGCTACTATTCTTATACCTAGAGACGGCATACTTGCACAGACCACTGGAATTCAGCAGAATTGGGTCACGCAGAGGTTAGAAGACAGATTTGGCAATGACACAACCTACCACTTGCTGCTAGTGTGGCTTTTAACACCATCCTTGACAACACTCATTCTATTTTAATTGCCAAGATGCTATGATTTATTTCTTATTTACTAATGCAAACTTACTTCTCGCCTTTAAATTTTTCTGGAAAGTCCAATATCAATGCATTTTTAATGCACTCAATACGGCTACCGATTAGTCCACTGGATGCACATATGTGTACCCACATGCCCGTAACAACAACAGCAGAATGTTAAAAATCCTAAAACCAGTTTTGTGAATGTGACCTGCAGGCTCCTGAGGAATCCAAACAACTTCAGAAAGAGACAACAGCAACTGCATATAGGATGTTAGAGGAGACTTTGTAGTTGAGTAAGAGATCCTTCACTTGGAATAATTAGAAATCTGCAGCCAAGACACTGTGGTGTATTATCTACAGTAATGTGCTAATACCGCAGTCCCATTTGGCACTAATAAACATCAGGCTGGGGATTTGGGTTTTAGTGCATTTTTTGGGGGGGGGCAGGGGGGACTGCTATACAGGGATGTCTGTAAGTGAACTGGGCTCGTAAGAACAACGCTTGTTCCAATGCAACAGAATACAGAATCAGTCAGTTCAGTGCAAGAAATATATATCACACTAGAAAGATGGGAGGCTATGCCCTGGAGTGTACTGGTATTATAAAAGACAGTTTAATGAACGTGAAGTTCCTGAGCAACAATGCAGTTTTCTGTCAAGAACCCCCAGCATTCATATATGGAAGCACAATCAAGTAGGAGCTGGAAGATGTGGTTATTACTGATCACAGCATAAGCAAGACACAACAATCCTGTTTCTAGTTCTTGCTTTTTAACTCCAGAAGATGACTGAAAATGGGATGAGGTTAAGAAAAAGGTTATGCAAGTGATCTGAGGGCTAGAAAAACGTATTTCATCAGAGGCTTAAGAAGATCAGTTTATTTGGTTTAACCAAGAAGCAGCAAAGAAATTATTTTGCCTCAGCCTACAAACACCTACATGGAGAAGCATCTCATTGTGAGTCCTGGATCTAAAAGAAAAGCTACCAGAAAATCTAAGAATTCACTGGAAGCTGAAACTAGTCAAATGGAAATGAATAAGTAAATGCATTCGCATAACTATCAAGGAAAATAATCTTTGCAGCAACTACATGTGTGCACAGTAAATTCTGTAGTCATTAAAGCCTTTTCAGCAAGACAGGATAACATCTGGAAAGCAATGGCACTTTATAAACAGAAGCTGTGGGTTTGATGCATAGGCTTGTGAGTAAGTTTCTTTGGGCTGCTCTGTGCAAAGGGGTAAGACTGCATTATCACCTTCCTTCTGGAAATTATGCTATTAAAAATATTCTTCTAGTCCTAGAAACAAGCACATAAAAAATTTAGGCTATTTTAATCATAGAGAATAATTTTTTAAACCATTACAAACTTGCAAAATGAAAGACCTTCTGAAACACTGTACAACCGTTCTTTCAGCAGAAGAATGGTGGTTAAGGAGATCAAGGCCCAGAGACCAGTCGTATTACATTCCTGCATAACACCGTGCTTTTGAACACTACTCAATATTCATTATATAGAAGAATCTATTAACAGTCAAACTCTTACACTGCAGGATTATATTAAGGATTCTTTCTCCCTTTCACATTAGTAGATGGCTTGTTATCAGCAAGCAATTACAATCACCACATAGTATATTTAAACATTGCAGTTAAACATTAAAAAGACGAACCAAGTACTTCATCACTCTACTGTTTACTGCTTACAGTGAATATATGTCAACTACTTTAGAGGAAGGTGCAATCTTCTATCTCAGTAGAGAGAACAATTAGTGAAACAGGAAAAAAAAAGCAACTCTCACAAAAACATAATGAAGCCTCAAGCACAGTACTACCACCAGTGATAAGGCATGGGCACACTATAGGATCTTGGAGATACCATGAGCTGTTAGCTGTTGTGGTAATTCACCTTTGGAATGGCGTTATCCACGTTACTGTGTAGCAATATAATGAACCAAACCAAAAGGCAAATGGGAAGAATGTAAGTGGCGCAAGGAATCAAACCATACCAACGGCAGCAGTAAACAATGGAATTAAACATGACAACTAAAAGGTGGAAATACAATGAGGATATTAGGCTGCATGTGCTATATGCTCTCAGTCTTTCTCAGTTACTAATAAGCTTTATAACAGTGAAACCAGACAAATAAATACATAGAGAAAACACTGAAGTGAAATAGTATCACTTATCTCAAGCTTTGAATTTTATTACTGAGAGCACTCTTGCTACACATAAATCTAAGGAGTATTGTGTCCTATCAGTATCTGTGCACAATTTCATAGACATAAATAAAAATTATTTATGCACAGATCTCATTATATTTTCTTAATACCATTGTACATTTGTATGATGCTTGTAGTATTCAACAGCATAGACTCTTAAAAAGATTCAACATATAAAAATAGTCCCAAGATTATCAATATAGTTATTAAAATTAGGTTTCCCAAGAATCAAAATTTCAATAGTATAAATAACAATATGACTACAATATGACACAAGACCAGAATACCGGAAGGCTACTTTGGTTGATTTCAGAAGGCATTCAACACTTGTTTTCGCAAAGGCTGATTTCAGCCACCTACCTAGCACTTCCAGGAGTCTTCTAATCCTACATGGCTAAATGCTGAGCCTTTAGTTCTTTAGTATTTCCCATGAAGAAAAGAGGCAGTTCCTTCCTATCACTGACAATCTAATTACTGAGGTTTAATAGCTAATACTTATTATCAGAAGATTTCACATGTGCATATGGTATACTATAAATGCTTATGAGCACATCTGTGGAAGTCGTAAGTTGCTATGTATAGCAATAACTAATTGACAGCTTTATGGATGCTCTAGGACTCTATTAAGATTTATTAATCAGTTAATTATTGTGACTTTTAAAAGCTGCTTTAAAATGGAGTTTTTAGTCTCAAATGTAGCCCTTGAACTACACATTTACACAGCATCACAACGGGATCTCTGTGTCTTATCATCTGACAAGCAATAAATAATGCCAGTACTATAACAAACAATAACATCTTCCACTCATTTCAAGGTTGAGAGGCTAAATTAGGACTAATGAGTATTATGTAGTCATTTATCTATATATTTTGCCATTCAATGTCTACTTATAACCCCTCCAGTTCTTCAGAGCTTGTGAGCAGCTGCTCAAAGATCTACAAGTCTTCAAGCTTTACCAGATCAGTGGTGTCATTCCCTAAGTCTTTCACTATTTACGCAGATTTGTCTACCTACACACACAGCTGCTGGGTTATTTTGGATTTGTAATACAAAGGAAAGAAAACAAACCACCAAAACCTGTAGCAGTATATCTCAATTCATGGAGACAATTGTGTGCATAAGCATGAAGATACTGACCTTCGGCAACTAAAACGTGTACTTTGTTTCTTTCTTTTTTAAATGACAGAATGCATGTGGCTGTTTGTACAGACATTTGCCCGGAGAGAGAAACCAGAATGCTTGTGACTGCTCCGAGAACAGCAAATACACTTTATCCAGTGACTGATGGGGTGTGGAGCAGCATGCAAGTGCCACTGGACAGCAGCGACCAGCTCACCCTACTACCTCTCTGAACCCCAGATAAATATTCCACACCAGCTCCAACAAAAAGCAGGGGACTGCCACAACCCGGATGGGTAGATGGCCCAAGGCTGCCCCCTGAGGAACTGCAAGGCATGGATTCAAACCCCCGACACTTCGACCACTGAACTCTTGAATTCGTTTCTTCTCCTTTAAGGTAATGGATGCAGAAGGAGGATACAGGTGGACACAGGACATAAGCTGATCTAACAGAACTGGAAAGAGGATGTAGCAGACAAGAAGAATGATCAAAGTTTTGGAATGCTTTTGATATATGGAGACAGTAAACAGACTTCTCAGCCTGAAAAAGAGGCTGAGAGAAGAGATGACATTTATAAAATCATTAACAGCACGAAGAAGATCATGAAGGCAAAGCAATTCTGTGTTGTTTCAATGCAAGAAAGAATATCCAATAAAGCAATCAAGCAGTGGATTTAAAATGAGCAAATGAAGTGCTTTTTCATACAACACAAAAGTAAAGTGCAAAACCCATTGCTACAGAATGTTCTGGAGCAGAAACATAAATGGGTTCAAAAAGAGATTAGATAAATCCACAGATGACAGGGCCATCAGGGGCATTAAAGACAACCTAATGCAACTTCTGGCTCCAAAAGCTCTGAGCCACTCCGCTGACAGAAGCAGGGATGATATATGAGGGGTAGGATCATCCTACTGCCACATTTCTACATGCTTTTCCCTGTGCAC